CTAGAGATGTAAAATGAGACTAGGTTACAGTAAACTTTGAATACAAGGCTACAGAGTTCTCTTTGATAGATAAGGAGAAACCACTGAACTTAAGCAGGAAGTAATAACACCAATGCTTTCAGAAGGCTAATGTAACAGGGGCTGGCAGCATAGTCTGAAAGTGAGGGAGGCTGCTGGGAAATGTTATAAGTTAGCAGGTGATCACCATTGCCCCTGCATGAAGCACTAGAGGATTGCAGTGAGCCAAGATCATGCAACTGCACTCCAGTTTGGGAAACAGAGCAAGACTCTGTCTCAAAAAATATACATATAAAATGAAAATTTAAAATAAAAAGGCTGTGAGGACAGAGAATATATTCGTCTCCTGCACTTTAACTTCATCACCTTCTGTGGTATCTGGCACCTAACTAGTATGCAACATTTGCCAAATAAAGATATAACTGAAGCTATAATTGTGAAAAAAAAAAAGGGATCTCAATAATAACCATTTAAAAAACATGTGAAAGAAAAGCATATTCAACAATAAAAAAATTATTACTTATTATTATTATTGCTGTTGCTACCATTTGCAGAGTACCTGTTACCTAATCTTCACAACCACACTGCAAGGTTGTAGATCTTATTACCCATAGTTTAAATAGGAGGGAAGTTGTGTCTCTAAAATTTACACTACTAAAAAAATTCAGGGCTAGCGTTTAGCCCCCAACCTTTTGACTCCCTATTCCAAAATCTTTCTAGAACATCAACTTCTCTTCAGTGAGGGAGGGATGAGGAACCCTGACTATTGTGTTGCAACTTGGAAGGAGAAAGAACACATCAAACAGTTGCAGAGATAAGTCAGGTGGCTTGGCAGGTTTAGCTTTCTAGGGTTACTTTGGTGAACAAGCAGATCTGCCTGAGAATCACAAGCCACACCATATAGAGCCTGCGTTGAATGTCAACTTAGTTGCTTCATTCAAGGAGCCTTCCTAAGAGAGATCCCAGCTGTTGCTGCTGGCCTTAGCTTGGCCACTATCTTGTCTTAACTTTGACTCTTCTGTTTGTGATTGAAACTTCGGGCATACAATAGCCTATTACTTGTCTACCTTCTTCAGCAGCCGCCTCTGCTGATGTCACATAAATGCCGTGTACCTTTCAACGATGAGGAAGATGGGTGCCTCATCAAATTAGGCTTTTGCCCATACTTCTAAGGTTCACTAGGTGAGAACTCTAGAAATTTTCCTATTGATTTTATCTTCTAAAAATCTCTTGAACCTCTCTACTTATCACTTTCTCTCCACTGCTACTATTGACAACTCTCCCCTGTACCATTTTAATAGCTCCTGATATGGTTTGGCTGTACCGGACCCAAATCTCATCTTGAATTATAATCCCCATAATCCCCAGGTGTCATGGGAGAGACTTGGTGGGAGGTAATTGAATCATGGGGGCGACTTCCCCCATCCTGTTATTGTGATAGTGAGTGAGTTATTAAAAGATCTGATGATTTCATAAGCATCTGGCATTTCCTCTGCTTGCTCGCATTCATTCCCTCTCCTGCCATCCTCTGAAGAGGTGCCTTCTGCCATGATTGTAAGTTTCCTGAGCCCTCCCCAGCCATGTGGAATTGTGAGTCAATTAAACCTCCTTTCTTCATAAATTACCCAGTCTCAGGTATGTCTTCATAACAGCATGAGAACGGACTAACACTGCTCCTTATCTGGCTTTCTCTCATCCACACCTATTTCCCTCTCTAATTTATCCTCCACGATACAGCCAGAGCAATTTTTTAAATGCTCATATGGTCTTTCTCCATTTTTTCTTAAAATACCTTAAAAACTTACTTTGGGCTTAACATAAAATCAAAATATTTAGCACGGTTTCAGATCCAACAAGATCCAGACCTGGCTGAACTCAGGGGACACATCCTCCCTCACCTTCTGTGCCCTGGGCACATTCACCTTCCTTCAGGTCCTCACAGATGCTGTGCTCCTTCTCATGCCAGGACCATGGTGCATGCTGTCCTGGTTTGCTGTGTGCCTGGTTGACTCCTACTCATCCTTCACATCACAGCTCAAGGGTTACTTCTTCACAAGGTTCTTCCCAATTTTTCAGCCTCAATCAGGTCTCTCAAGACTCCCAACTTATTTCCCTCATCATACAGATTGCAATCTGTGATTGTAGAGTTGTGTGTGATTATTTCATTAATGTCTAATTCCTCCACTATTGTATTATCAGTACCAGTACAGTGCCAGTTGGATCTCGATGAGTATTTGTTGAATGAGTAAATGAATGAGTTTACAATTTCAGAAAACAGAATGTGTTTCCTTAGGAGAAAATCCACACCATGTGGAATGCTTCGAAAGGACGTTCAATTTTGAACGATTTCATAATATTACTTCGTCTGTTACTCCATGAGTAATTTTATGTTAAGTAAAAAAATTTCTGTGGTTGAAAAATCAATAAATTAGTATGATTCGCAAGAACAACAAAAATTAAACTTTCCAGTATTGATGAGGTTCTTTTCCGAGTATGTAACTTTAAGCTACTTTCTATTTATTAGTAAAAAGATGATATTTTAAAGTGCTTTTCTGCTTATCTAGATTTACAATATTTAAAAATCTTTGCTCTTCAAGTTTCATTTTTTCCTTTAAGGATTTTCAATCCAAAAGTTTAGTAATGAAGCATATATACAGTTCATGAACATGAACATATTTTAAGACTTTCGGGAAACACTCAAAACAAAAGCTATTTTGAGAATTAGGAAATAGCTTGTCTGAATATTGCCAAGTGAATTTGGAATAACCTTTTTGTGGGATGCAATAAAAAAGAAAGACAAAAACTTCAACATTCTCAGTTAGTTCAAGGTTACAAGAGAATGTGAACAAAAAGTATTTCTCATTCTGTTAACACTTGGACACACAGAACATAAAAACAGTGTCTTCTTTCACTTAAAAAAATTTGAAACACACACAAGGAAACTTTGACCTTCTTGCCTTTTAGCTTCTCTGGGAGAGTTCTGCATAGATTTTGACCCCTTTTTCTCCTGTCCAACTTTTTACTGTGTATTTAATGAGCCTTGGATACCTATGCATCCCAATATATCCATAATGAGTTGGCAGTGGGAGAGGAAGAACAGGCCTGCAGATGCTGCTTGTATAATGGACAATGCTGTGGTAATGTCAGGACTTCCCTCTCAGTTGCAAATGGAAGGAGAAGGAAAATGTTTCATTCATGACACATTAAGCACAAATACCATTTTTATTTGTTTGTTTGATCGTTTTTATTTTTGTAGAGACAGGGTTTCCCTATGTTGCCCAAGCTAATCTTGAACTTCTGTTCTCAAGCGATCTTCCAGCTTCAGCTTCCTAAAGTGCTGGGATCACAACTGTAAGCCGCCATGCCCGGCCAAAATACCCTTTTTAAAAATAGATGGGTGCTGGCAGAGTCAGACCAAACAGTTGCTCAGGACAACAGCAAATTTTTAGGCAAAGATGATTCCAGCTCTTAAGAATTAGGAGCCTTATTCTGAACATCTATATCTTAATCAAATGTTTTACTCTATAATTAAAAGTCGGAGCCTCAAGTACTATTTTGTTCCTATGCAATCTGCTAACTAATGTAAAAGTGTTATAAGGACTTTAAATAAGTAGGTAAAATAAATTACAGATTTAAAATAAAATAAAAATGTGTTTCAGGAGTGATTGCAGAGAGAAAGAACGTTACACAATATGCACCCCAGACCCAAAGAGAATTTCGAGTTTAAACCAAACATAGTGTGGCTGGCGCCCCTACTGGACAAGTGAGGCTCTGTACACGCAGCCTGTTGGGCCTGGGCAATACCTAACTACCTGGAGAAGTACACTTGGACACAAGAAAGGGAACATCACACACCGGGGCCTGTTGTGGGGTAGGGGGAAGAGGGGAGAGATAGCATCAGGAGATATACCTAATGTAAATGACGAGTTGATGGGTGCAGCACACCAACATGGCACATGTATACATATGTAACAAACCTGCACGCTGTGCACATGTACCCTAGAACATAAAGTATTAAAAAAAAAAAAAATTCTCGCATGCCAGTGGTGTGCGTCTGAAGTCGCAGCTACCCCAGAGGCTGAGGCGGAAGGGTAGCTTGAGCCTGGGAGACGTAGGTTGAAGTGAGCCGAGATTCCCACACTGTGCTCTGGCCAGGGCGACAGAGTGACACTGTCTCAAAAAAAAAAAAAAAAAAAATGCCAGGACCTGGGCCCTAGAGTCAAGGTATTTCCTAGAACCACAGTGCCAGCATGGTGCAGTAGAACAGCACAGTTGCAGAGGGGAGAACTGAGAGTGAAGAAGAAATCCAAAAATTGTTGCTATGTACTGGATTAAAAGGAATTATCCCGTGAAAGCAAAGACTCCCAGCTTGTGTCTGTCTTGGAGCCGACTGGACAGTCTGCCTCTTCTTTGCCTAATGCTTCCCTTTTATAGCATTTCGGTAAACTTCCTCCTGTAAAAATACATCTCAGTTTTGAGAAAAGAACCTTACAGCAAATAATCCAGCTCATTCATTATGACCTAAACACAGACATGAGGAAAATGCGTTTATTCAATATGGTGCCAAATATTATTAAATGTATTTGTATTAGTCCATTTTCACACTGCTGTAAAGAACGTCCCTGACACTGAGTAATTTATAAAGGAAAGAGTTTCATTGACTCACAGTTCCACATGGCTGGAGAGGCCTCAGGAAACGTACAATCATGGCAAAAGGGGCAGCCAGCAACTTCTTTGCAAGTCCGCAGGAGAGAGAGAGAGAAAAGCCCAGGGGAAACTGCCATTTATGAAACCACCAGATCTCTTGAGAACTCCCTCATTCTCATGAAGACAGCGTGGGGGAAACAGCTCCCATGATCTAATCACCTCCTACCACATGGGGATTATGAGGATTACAACTGGAGATGAGATTTGGGTGGGGCACAGCCTAAACCACATCAGTATTAAATATGCTACTGAACAGAAATAAATAGATTTATTTAGCATACTACTAAATGTGTAAATCAATACATTTATTTCATGCACTATTAGTTTTATAAATTGAAAAATATACTAAAGCAAGAGGCTGAAAGTAAACTAAGTAATTTTTTTTAGAAAACCTGATGACATTTTACTGATAATTCACAAAGCATGAACACTGTGTACAGCAACAGAAGCAAGCTGTGATAGGACAGAGTTAATACAAACCCAATGATAATCTCAAATTGCCCAAAAAACTATGGCAACTCATCAAAAACAGAGTATCTTCCCTAATTTTAGCCTTTTTGGAAGTAGCAGTAGGTTAACCTCTTTCAACTGATGAGAAAACCATAGCCCAGCCTCCTGGGATCACAACTACTTAAGCAGCAAAACAAGGAATAGAACTCCAGTCATGTTAAGGCACCAAAAATCAAGATCTTTACTCAACATACAGTCTCCATCCTGTGAGTTTGCTCCCAGAAATCTCATTTTTCTAAAATCTTTCCCATCTTTGAAAGTGGTCACTATATCAGCTACGTTTTCAGACTTTTGTAGTACATAGCATATATCTGTTTCTACTTTAATTATGTATTAGTATTTTAATGATTGAATAATTAATTTTCATGTAAAATAAATAAGTTAAAATCTGTACTGGTTAAAATAAACTAAACTTATGTAATCAATAGACCTGGACATTTTAGTGAGTTAAAGCAATAGCAGTTTATTTCTCACATATGTAGCAGCAAAGGGCTGGTATTCATACTAGTGGACCTCTCTCCACAATCTACCATGTGGCTCTCCTATCTTCTAGTGATGCATCATCATCTGTATCCAGTGGGCAGAAACTGGAGAAGAGCATGGAAAACCACACAGGTACACTTATAAAAAGCCTCAGCCAGCCCAGATCTGACACAAGTCACTTTCACTCAAAAGCCAAGGAAGAAGTCTTAGCATTTGCCTGGCAATATTCCCTTCACTAAAGCAGAGAAGAGACTGGACTCAGGTAGACAGCTGATGACCACAGCCATTCTCTCAAATCCAGTACGTAAGGCTTATGTCTTAGTCAATAAGGTAAAAAGAAAATTAATAAGGTAAAAAGTCAAATCTCAGAAAAATGCTGAGGTTTTACCCTTGTACTTACTGAATCCACCCATTATTTATTAAAAGCTTGTGCTGAATGCCATAATAAATCCCTGACTTCACACAACTTATATAAATTAGCAAAGAATATAAGACTGTACAATTAAAGTTGCACAAATAAAATTTTTAAATCGAAAGCATACTCAAATTGAAATGAACTTTCAGTATCACCCAAAGCATAAAATTACTGCTTAAAAAAAAGTAGTCAATAATACACATTCCCTGAACATATGATTTGCACAAGACATTGTGTTCTGCAATGCTCTGAGTACACACAAGTACAGTATTTGCATCCTAATAGTTTCTCTCTAATTGTGGAACTAATCATTGAAGGCAGTCTACGATTTCTTTTTCAATTTTAAAATCGGCAATGCTGCTGCCACATCTGAGCTAAGGTTATTTCCTTGTTATATGTAATCCTGCTCTCTTTTCACTTTTTGCTTCTGTTTTTGATTATTTTTATTTATAGAGTTCCCCTGTCCCGAACACACTACTTCTTCATCAAATATATCAGGTATATATATAATTCAGTCTTTGTCCCTTCTATCACCACATCTTGTAGACAAAGCAAGAAATGCCACAGTCTTGGTCTAATTACTGCTTAGCCAAATGAGTACATGCTGAGCCATGTAAGCCCAAATCAACAGGCCACCCACCAAGACAGTAAAAAGAAGACCCTGAGTCCTCCCACAGAGACCTGGAAGAGCTTTTGATGGAAACAGGAGATAATTGTGTTTTGCCATTGGCAAATGCATATAGTACCTAGCACAGCAACACATATGTTTAGTGTTTAATATATATTACTGAAAGTGTGATAATGAAAAGAAAAATAGTGGTTTGACAGACATATAGCCCAGTGTCTTCCTCCAAACTTTCTCCCCACATTTCTGAAGGAGCAATTCTAGGAAGAAACTAGTGGAGAAAAAATATATGGTCATTTACATTAGGCCACTTATATTTGACTGAGGCTTTTCAAACTAAGATTCAAGACACATTTAAATTAAAAGGTTGTGAGCCTCTAACTGGATTTCAAAACATTTAAAAATGTATACCTTTTTTCTACTAGCTTGTAATACTCTAGGCAGTTTTTCACTTCACAGAATTCCTAGTTTGTTTTTAATGTTACATTTTGCCAATTGGAAGCAAGTAAAAACTTGCGGATGTGCTACAGATAAGTAAGTCTCAAATGTGAGCTGATAAAGAATATCAGAATCTCTGCAGAGATAATGGAGCTAGGAATGTGTAGTTTGGAAAAACTCCCCAAAATGATTCTACAACTCCCCCACCCTCATCCTCATGTAGAACTACTGTTTGAGCTGTTACTTCATAATGAGATCAAACTGCTGTCATAGATGTGGAATACCAAGACAAATGGCTAGAAATCTTGTACATGAAAACAGTGGGCCACCCAAAGTTTGTCTTTCCCTAGGAAGTTATAGAGAAATGAGGAGGTATCAGAAGATCGGTCAATAAAAGAAAAATTTCTTTAAAAGACATATGGGTGGGATGAGAACGAATGATTCTTACTTTATCTGTAGAAACTGAATTTTGCTGCAACTAAAAGAGACCTGGATAATAGTGATTTACACAAACAAGATTTTGTTCTGTCAAGAAAACTGATATTCAGCAGTCCAGCCTGATGCAGTGGCTTCATGAGCTCTTCAGCAACCCAGACACTTTCCAGGTCTTCTTTGCCAATTTTAGTGCTGGTAACTCCTTCATCTCATCATCCAACATGGCTGCCAGAGCTCCAGACATCACGTGTATATCTGAGTTCCAGGAAACTAGACAGAGGGAGAAAAGAAGGGCATGCATGCTCACTTTAAAGAAGACTTCTAAGAAGAACCACCTAAAATTCCCCAACCTAGTCCCAAAGCTCACTGGGCTGCTTTCAAGCCTGGAAAATGCAGTCTTTAAGCTGTAAAATGCTATGACAAAATCAGGTATTTATATTAAAGAAAGGAGAAGGATAATTGGGAGATAACAATTTCTGCCTTAGAGACCTTTAACAACCTCAAAATCAGTCATAAAATAAAATTTATGTAACATATATGTAAATTAGAAATACATATGAATTTGCATTCATTGGAAATCATTTGGAAAAAAACTAATCCAAAATTTGGGGTTGTATGAGATTTATATCAATCAAATGTCAATGTAAAAGACTGACCTAAAATCAGTCAGGTTAGGATCAATAACCTTATCTTCTCCTTAGCAATAAGTCTCATTCTTAATCTCAGACTTTAAATTGTTTGTAATTATTTTTTCATATAAATTCAATGATTACCATCAAGTTTTTCTAAGCATCCAAAATTGACCTGCAGCACTGATGCTTCAAAGTTAACTTATATTTCTGTGATTTCACAAGTATAAAACAGGACTTTCTCCATTGTTTAAGATAAACAATACATTCACCTTTTTGAATAATTAGGTATCTCCTATCTGATTTTCACAACATAACAATTAGTGATTGCCCAACACTAAACAATATCTTAAGAATATAAATAGTTCAACAGATGATGGTAAGAAGAGTGATATTAAAGATAATAATTTATAAAGGTAGCATGAAGCCAAATATTAAACAAATAAATAACCAATTTTTAATTGTCTAATATATTTAGAGACTTTAATGAGTGATTAGGTCATCTTTGATATAAACACATCTTAATTATTGAAATAATACTCAACAAACTCCTTCCTTATTCATTTGGCTTTGTCCATTTTCATTAGATTTGAAATCCGTATGGATGGAACTCACAAGAAATACGAGTTTAATTGAGGAATTTCAATGAAACAAAATGCTTAAGAAAAAAAAATGAATTAAATAGAACAACTTCAGAGTAAAAGACTTCCAGGATCTTGTCCTACACCCTACTCATTTCCATTGACATACCCTAGCCTTTGCCATTACCGATTGCAGCCTTTCTAGAATCTCAACTTTAAGCAGCCCATTCTCTGACTAACAGCTTCTGTGTTTGCAATGTATTCCTTCTACTTCTCCAACTTCACCAATCCATTTACAGTACCGTCTTCTCACTGTCTCTCAATGCCCCCATTTCCTCACATCTCTCCTTATCCACCTAAAATTCCATGGTTGTTAACTGTAATTGCTCCCCTGAATATACCCCCAAACACTTCATCCTCCTTTGCCTTGCTGAATTTTCTAGGAAAACCTCCAACCATGGTTATATGCATCTTTCCATCACTCCACACCTACATTACATCCAACTGAACATAGATGGAGAAAAACACACAACTATGCCAAATCTTTAGCAGCTCTTTCCCCATCCTCGCACTCAGTGGATGACCTGGCTTCCATTTTTAATGAGAATAACAGAAGCAACCAGAAGTTCTACAAGCTCTCACCCCACACCCATCTATATCCACATACTTTCCTTCCCATCCTCTTCCTGTAAATGGACTGTATGTGGTCCTTCATCTCCATTTGTGTACCACATCCCATCTCTTCTAGCCTATTAAATGACATGTCTCCAGCAATTTTCCCTCCCTCATCTGCCTCATCAATTGTCTTTCCTCTCTTGGATCATTTCATTAGCAAATCAGTAAGTTTTCACTTTACCCATCTCACCAAAAAAAAAAAAAAAGCAAAACACAAACACCTTTTTGCCCCATTTCCTTCCTTAGTACATTAGTCTGTTTTCATGCTGTTGATAAAGACATACCAGAGACTAAGAAGAAACAGATATTTTAATGGAGTTCCATCTCCACATGGCTAGGGAGGCCTCACTATCATGTCAGAAGGCAAAGAGGTGCAAGTCACATCTTACATGGATGGCGGCAGACAGAGAGAGCTTGTGCAGAGAAACTCCCATTTTTAAAACCATCAGATCTCATGAGACCCATTCACTATCACAAGAACAGCACGGGAAAGACCTGTCCCCATGATTCAATCACCTCCCACTGGGTCCTTCCCACTGAGTGCCTCCCACAACACATGGGAATTATGGGAACTACAAGATGAGATTTGAGTGGGGACACAGAGTCAGACCATATCACCCAGCTATCACTTTCTGCTCCATATTACAGGAAAGCTCCTTGAAAGTGTTATCTATATTTGCTGACTCACTCTTTTCCTACCATTCCCTCTTGAACCCATTTCATTCAGGCTTTCCTACAGACCACTTTGTCTAAGCTGCTCCTGTCATGGTCATTGGTGACCTCCACATTACTGCATCACAAAGTCAATTCTCAGTCTTAACCTCACTTGATGTATCAGTACCATATGACAAGCTGATCATTCTTGAGATACTTTCTTCACTTTGCTTAAAGGATAATATGCTCTCCTAGTCTTCCTCCTCTTTTACTGCTGCTCCTTCTCAGTCTCATTTATTCATTGTTGGAATACTCCCAAGCCCAGTTCCTGGGCTTCTTATACATCTACACGCTCCCTTGCTAATTTTGTTCAGTCTCAGGCTGATGACTCTCAAATGTAGATCCTTACCCACGACCTCTTCCTTGAACTCCAGCTCTTTATAGACAACCAGCTACTTGACAGCTCCACTTGGATGTCTAATAGGCATCTCAAATCTCGCTTACCTAAACTGAGACTCCTGGTCTCTCCGTACACATCCAACACCTGCTCTTCCAGCAGACATCTCCATCTCAGTTAATGCCCACCCTATCTGTATTGGTCAGGCTCAGCTGGCTTCTGCTGCAGCAATAAATGAACTGAACACCATACCAGTTTCCAAAAGCAAAGGTTTATTTCTTGCTGCCTGTCTCCCGTAGTTGCCATCCACATCAGCTTTACTCCAGGAGCCAGACTGACAGAGCAACTTTTATCTGGAAAATTGCTGGGTTTGTGGCAAAAGGAAAAATGACACATGAACCAAGTGCTGGCTCTTAAAGCTTCTGACCACTTCCATTGATCAAGCAAGTCAAATGGTTTCCCATTTTCCACAGGGAAGAGGTGTATTGTCCCCTTATAGGAAGGGAGCCTACATGGAGTAAAACTAAAATATTTGGTAAACAGTAAAACAATCTAGCACACTGGTCCCCCAGTTGCTCTGGCTAAAACTCTTGGCTCCTCTCTTGTTCTCAAATCAAATCCATCAATAGATCTGCCACTCTAGGTTGGAGCGCCCTGGTCCAGACACCATGTACAGGTTTCTATCCTGTCTTCCTGTTTCTACCCTTTCTCCACTAGCCTATTCTCCAGATAGTGGGCAAAAGTGAACATTTTATTTATTTTAATTATTAAAATTTTAGTTTAATAAATTATCTTCTTTTGGAATTCTACAACACTATTTGATAATTATTTTCAACTTTTATTTTAGAATCAGGGATATATGTGCAGGTCTAATCATACCTTTGTTATAAAGGTATGATCTGAGATTTGGAGTACAAATGAATCCGTCACCCATGTACTGAGCATAGTAGACAATAGGTGGTTTTTCACTCCTTGCCCCTCTTCTTCCCTCCTCCCACTTGTATTCCCCAGTATCTATTGTTCCCATCTTTAAGTCCACGAGTACCCAATATTTAGTTCCCACTTATAAGTGAGAACATGTAGTATTTGGTTTTCTGTTTCTGTGTTAGTTTGCTTAGAATAATGGTTTCCAACTGCATCCGTGTGGCCACAAAGGATAAGATTTAATTCTTTATGGCTGCATAGTATTCCATGTTGTACATGTACCACATTTTCTTTATTCAATCCACCATTGATGGGCACCTGGGTTGATTCCATGTCTTTTCTATTGTGAATAGTGCTGCAATGAACATATGGGTGCATGTTTTTGGTAGAACCTGTGGGTATATATACAGTAATCAGATTGCTGGGTCCAATAGTAGTTCTTAGCTCTTTGAGAAATCTCCAAACTTCTCTCCACAGTGACTGAACTCATTTACATTCCCACCAACAGTGTATAAGCAAGTGTCAAAAGTGATCATTTTAAAACACAAGTCAGATTCTGTTATGCTTCTGCTCAAAAGTCTCAAATGGCTCCCTCTCTCACTCGGTAAAAGCCAACATGTCTCCAACAACCTTGTAAATTCTGACATGATCCTTTCATCCATCACCTCCCTGACTCCGTTGCTGCTTTTTCATCTCCAGTTCGCTCTCTTCCAGCTATGCGGACTGCTCTGTTGTCCTCAAACAGACCAAGCACATTCCAGCCTCAGGACATTCACACTTGTAGTTTCCCCTTCCTGGAATGTACTTCTCCCAGAATTCCACACAGCTCACTCTCCAATCCTCTTCAGGTATTTGCTCAGATGCCACTTTGGAAGTTAGTCTTTACCTGTCAATCAATTTAAAATTTTACCCCCATCCCTCACCCTGAAACTCCCTCTTCTCTTCCTTTCTTGTTTCCATAGCACTCATCCCTATGCAATTTTCTGTGTAACTTAAAGAAACAGAAGAAAATACAGTAAATATTAGTAAATATTGTGCATTCACACAAACCCAAGAAGCTTGCTGGGTTATCTGTCCCAAACTGGAGAAAATGAAAAGAATCTGAGTGGGGAAATAACACTAAGAAAAAGCATTAAAAGTGTTATTTCTAAAATTATAATATTAATGACCAAGGCAAAACTCTAAAGTTCCCTATTTCATTTATTACAGAATGCTTAATTTAAATTCCAATTTGAAAGTATATATATTTTAACTATTTATCTCTTGCCAAAAGTCTACTACTTTTCTTGCCAAAGCAAGAAAGTAGTAGACTATCTCATAAATAGTTGTGCCACTCTAGGTGGTAAATCAAAATTTACTTTACTTCTGATTCCAGACTAAAAGGAAAGCCTTTTGGCTAGATTAATTATC